GGCTGCTTCCAACCTCCCCCAAACAGGCTCTGCAAGCGGGGTGGGAAGAGCCACCAGCGTTTGCGTCCTCCTCCTGCTCTAAATCACCAAGAGGCAGCTCTTTCCAGCCCCTTCCCACGCCAAGCCTCTTCTCTGCTTCCCCCTGCAACCTCTGCCCAGCTCCGAGAGCCCTTGTGCATTTCGGTTTCGGGACTGTCCCCCTCCTCTGGTGCCATCTGATTGACTTCAGGCAGTTGTCACTGGCACGACCCTACAGCCACAGGGCTGAAATTAGGGGGGAATGCCGCCTCGCTTTCCCTGCTCCCCTAAAACCTGTTCCCTTCTTGTTGCTGCCCATTGCCTGCTCTGCGTTTTGCAAAGCTCCAGAGGATGCTGCTGGGGTTGCTCACAAGCCCTTGCGTTCCCCCGCGGCCAGTGTTAGCCATCCCTGGGCCAGCATTAGCCCTCCCAGGAAGCGTTGCCTGTACCGATCCGTTGAAGCCCTCGCCGTGCCGCTGCTGCCCCATCCCGAGTAGCAACCGTGGGCGGTCAGATTTCCTACGGTGCTTCCCTCGAGTCCCGGTGTGAACGCGCGCGGGTGCTTCCCACGAGCTGTGAACACACCTAGAGTGAGTGGAAAAATGTGATTCTTTGCAAGTTATATGTAGAAATGAGGCCTGGGGAGCCAGGGGGGACAGGAGGGCTTTGCTGGGAGTCTCCTCATTTGCTGGGAGTCTCCTCACTTTGCTGGGAGTCTCCTCCTCAAAACCTCGCATGGGGTTTTGGGGACAGTCCCCGCACCGGCGCGGGGCTGCAGCCTGGCTCCCACTCGTGGGTTGGGGAAGGGCCACACTTACTGCAGGCAAACAGCACTGCCAGCATCAGCCAGGGGGGACAGGAGGGCTTTGCTGGGAGTCTCCTCATTTGCTGGGAGTCTCCTCACTTTGCTGGGAGTCTCCTCCTCAAAACCTCGCATGGGGTTTTGGGGACAGTCCCCGCACCGGCGCGGGGCTGCAGCCTGGCTCCCACTCGTGGGTTGGGGAAGGGCCACACTTACTGCAGGCAAACAGCACTGCCAGCATCAGCAGGACCTTCATCTTCCTCGCACCCTGGGAGGAGAAACAGAGGACAGGCTCAGCCAGGCAGCGTGGCCTGTTGGCAGGTGCTGCCGTGCAAACCTCGTCCCTCTGAAATCAGGTCAAATCGCCCCGAAATTTGGAGGGAGGAAGGCAATCGTCTCCCCAGCATCTGTTTCGCTGCCTCTTGGCCGAAAGCAAACGCTTTCGGAAGCTCTTCCACCACCCCAGCATCTCCCAGCACCCGTCCCACCGCCTTTGGCACCCAGGGCATCACTCTGCAGCAGCAGTGTGGTGATCCCCCCGGGGCTACAACTTCCCGATCGAGTTTTTATCTGAAAATGACGTTTTATCTGCGGGCACGGAAAACAGCCGTAAGCAGCTGCTTCCCACCCACATCCCCCCTCGTGTTTTCGTTTCGGCAGCAGCAATGCCACCACCCCATCGCAGCAGCGGGGCGAGGGTGGGGGTTGCTCACCGGGGAATCGCTCCGGCTCCGATTCCTCGCTGCCAGCCCGTCCTCCTGGGGAGAAGCTGCCCTCCGTGTCTGGCCTGCGGGCTCTGAACTGGAAGCTCTGAAATGACTCGTCTGTCCCAAAAATGCTTTGTGCTACGCCCCTTCCCTTGCTGGCCAAACCTCCCCCTCTCCCCGTGGGCTGCAGCCTGGAGTGACGCAGGGGCCAAGACGGAGATTTTACGAAGTTTGGGGAGGATGATGTCGAGCATTCATGGGGATTTCTCTCTGCCCAGCAGCAGCTCGCGGAGGACCGGGGTGGCTTAATCATAAACATTGTTTATTTTTACGTTGATTAAATTTACAGCAGCACCAATGTGGTCCGTGCAGGCAGGGACGTAGGGCAATCCGGATGCAGAACCTGTTGTGTTTGCTCCAGCCCCATATCCAGGCTCCCATCATCAGCACCAGTGCTTGAGGTAGAACCGGTAGCGTTTGCTGTAGCTCCAGATACTTCGCTTCAGGCAGAGCGCCAGGCTGCGGTCGCACTCGCAGGAGAGCTGGGGGCACCAGGAGTCCTCTCCTGTGAGTAGAGGGGAGCCCAGGGTCAGCCCCAGCTTGGGCGGGGGGTGACACCCCCTTTGCCAGGGTCCTACTTACTGCACCAGGGCCTGCCGCTGTGCCAGCCGTAGTGGTACCTCTTCATCTTGGCATGGCAGTGGTAGCTCAGGAGGTTCTCGTAGCAGGTATCGTGCAGTTGGCAGCATCTGTACAGGAGCTCGGAGCTTAGGTTTTGGGTTTTTTTTCTCCCTCTACCCCCAGATTTGAAACCATGCAAGGATGTGCCTGGGTGGGGAGATTTTTAAGTGGATGTTTACCTGTCCGTAGCGTCCTTGGGCTGCCCTTTGCCCCCCCAGCCGCAGTAGCAGCCGTAGGAGGAGGAATACATCAAGGCGTTCTTCCCCGTCACCGCCGTGACCATCTGGTGCAGCTCCCAGAGGCTCCCATGAGCTGGGCACGAGCCTGCGGAGGAAAATCGGTGGGGCTCACACTGATGCCCGGCTCCCAGCAGCATCCTCATCCCTCCAGCCCCCCAGGAGGTACCAGGGGGCTAGTACCAGAATTGGTACCAGGCTGGTGATGTCTTAAAAATGAGTAGATGCAATGGAGAGGAAACCGATTCCCAGGTCGGTGCAGGAGAGTTGCTGAATGTTGGGGAGAGGTGGTGATGGGGAAAGGTTAAGAAATCACCAGCCTGGTCCTCATCTCCATGGATATAACTGCACGGAGAGTTGAGGGACTGGTGCGAGCGAGGACACTCACCCCAAGCAAACAGCACAGCGAAGGCGAGGAGAGATTTCATCTTTTTGACAGCCCTGGGAGAGGAAACCAAACCATTTCCCTGTTACATCAACCACTTTCTTTTTCACTTGCCCCCTCATCCGGAGGCAGAGATGGACCCCCACTTCTGGGGATCAGGGCAGATGAGGGGGGCGAGGATGTGCCTGTTGCCATTGCTTCGGCACAAAGTGCCGCTGCGTCGGGGCTGGGAAGTGATGTGAATCAGGTGGTGGAGGGGTGGGAAAAAGCAAAATGAAGGGAAAGGAAGAAAAGTTGGAGGAAAGATCAGCCCTCGCCGCTCTGCCTCCAGGCTGGCAGCTCAGGTAGCCTTTCCTTTGCTCCTGCTTTCCTGGCATGGACCTCGCTCCCTGCTTGCACCCTGGCTTTTGGTTAAGGTAGGAAAGAGAGGAAAAGCGTTCCTCCATCCCCGCTTACCTCTGGAAAGCTGCTTCTTGCTTGCAGGGCCCTGCAGCCAGCAGGACTTTCTTTATATAAGGTTTGCTCCCCGCTGTCGGATGCTCATTTCACCCAAATCTTGCCGACTGGGCTTTTCTGCAAAGGAGAAGGCGCCATCCTTCCCCTTTACAGGAAT